GCCCTCACTAACACGCTTTAGGCAAGCAGGTGGATTAAGTTGCCTCAACCCTTCAAAATTTATGTGTAACGTAATGCTGTTGTCCTCAAACGTTCAGCAAAAAAATGTCCTGGATGGTCCTAAAAATTTTTTATCATTCATTTCAAATAAATGCTATTTTAATCCAACATTTACAAGGTATTACAGATAGGTGTAACTACCTGTACATTAGAACGTTGTATGTACTTAAAATGATGAAGTTAACTTAAAAGAAATTGTTTTTAAATAAATATAAAAAAATATGAATAAATCAGGCAAGCTTATTCTTCTATAAGCTGCTTCGCTGGTGCTAAGTCCGGCGTAAAAAGTAAAAGCCTAAGACACGTGCTATTGTCAGCCTATAATGTATTTCTTTGCCAAATTTGCCGCCGTTACGCCGTGCATAATTTTTTAATGCTCACATTTTCAAACCATCTTTTATGGAATATTAACTTTATCAATCAATTTAAAAATTAATTTCACAAATCTTTGAATTGTTTGAAGTTTCACAGGCTGACTGGTTCAGTGAAGTGTGCCTTCCGCCGTCGAATACGTGAGGTAGAAGTTTCTTCATCCACCGGCACATCTTCGATATTATTGATATTTGATACTTAATTTCTTTTCGCTATGTACCATCACATGGTACACTCGTAGGTTAGTGAGTGTGGTTGTATGTGATGGTTAATTCCCGTAAACATAATTTTAAATAAGATTTATGTACCACTAATTTTCTTACAGAGTAGGCGTAGACAATTGAAACTAACATGACCACGTATTTCTACACACCTTGTATATCGCTTGACAAAAATAAATTCACATCACAGGACACAAACGTGATGTGAATGTTGAAAAGGCCCTTTTGTCGGCTGTACTTGTATTGTCGGCCCTTTTACCCATACACGTGTGTTTTGACATGATTTTCCAATAGTGAGTTGACCCTAAAAGTCCGGTGACGTGTTAATCGTATGCATGCAATAAAACGGTCTTTATGGTAATCGAAATGGTTAACAGACAACCGTTTTATCAATACCGTGACGACGATTTTTAATGTGATAAAACCCTTCAATGGTGTGAAAAAAAATGTTTAGTTTAACCTACTTACAATTGACTAAAGTCCCTCTAATCTAAGAGGTACCGTTTGACAGGTCTGACAAATTGAAGTATAGCGATAGGGTCAAATAAGTCAAACAAAACCTACAACATCCGATTCTTAAAAGATACCGATATCATTTCTTAGTAGGTACTAATCTTTTACAGTTTTACAGATTTATGTAAGTAACTTACTATAAAAGTCTGTATAATGGCATATCATAGGTTTTACTAGTAAATCTTAGTATACACTAAACTCGGACACGAGAGATTTTTTGCCTACAAAGATTTATTTAAAATTATATTAACGTACACACTTTTCATTTTGATTATGCGTTTTGCGTTGATAGTTGGATGTCAGACGAATTTAAGTATTATTAAATACTTTAGGACGCCCGGATCGAAAATGACTAATTATTAATAAAATCGATTTTTCTTACATTTTAACGATTATTAGTATATAAGTGAATTTGAAGTGCCGCAACACCACGGTCAAGACCCTTACTACGTGACTTTGAAACGAAGTTTGAAAAACAGATCTATTCTGTATAAATTGATTATTTTTGCTTTGTTTCAAATATTTAAATTTAAATTTAGTCATTAAGAATTGTATATCTTGCGGTAAAATAAGAAAAGCTTCATGATTTCATAGCTTTACGGAAAAGGATATTGAAATTGTGTGAGTTACGCCTATACAAAGTTGTTTCGTCTTGAAAAGTATGGAACGTCAAACGGTATCTCTAAGATTAGATGGACTATAGTAGCTTTGTCGAAGGTATAGAAAATAAAACCTTATATAACGATATTATTAAGCTCATCAATCGATTCTTGTATAAAAAGGTGAAAGTGAGTTTTTTTGTTACGCTTTCACTCCTAAACCATTAAACTGATTTTAATTTTTTTGTCACCAATGGAAAGCTACATTATCAGCGAGTAACAGGGGCTACTTTTTAACGCGAAAACCGACATACACGCGGGCGGAGCCAAGAAATAATCAAATTATTATTTTTACACAATAAGACGCAAAGAAAATATGTTCAATAATATTCTTGAAATAATTTAAATTCAACAGTGACAACTTATCCTTAAATAAATTAATCGGCGCGTATTAAATGAATGAATAAATCTTCAAGAGATAAGTAACTTAAGTTAAAACAAGCCTCTTTGTAATATCCATTTTCGTACTGTTGTCGTAGGCAATGTCGTCTAGAGGTCTAGGGTTCAGACCTCAGTATAATGTACTAAGTACCGATAAGATAAAGTCTAATATTGATAAGTCTTTCGATTTCAGCAGCAATCAGACTTAATAATGTACCGTGAAATCACAAAATAAATTGTTCTTCGATAAAAGGGACTTCAGGTTTTAATTCTTACAGAAAACCGTGGTTAAGTAATTTTTCTTTGCTTTTCACCAATTGAGTGAGGTAACAGGAGTCCATCCCCATATCCCCCCTTATACCCTGAGGGTAGGACTCAAAGGCAATGCCGGCTTAAGCCAGTAGGGGGCCTGTAGCAAATTCAAATGAGCCCTTGGATTATTTTAGGCTATCAAGTTTATGCCCTTAAATAAAACAAAACTGTTACAAACAAACTTCTTGAGTTAATTGGTCAAATTAATAAATAACTAGCTTTGGCCACGACTCCGTCCGCGTGTATGTCGGTTATCGGGGCAAAAAATAGTCCATAGCACTCAGGGATAATACACCTTTTTTAACAGTGAAAGAATTTTCAAAATCGGATCAGTAGTACCGGAGATAACCCAGAACATACAAACTCAAAAACTTTACCTCTTTATAATTATTATAGATTAGACGTAGGTACCCTGCCACGCTATGGTACATACAAGTACTAGTTGCCAAAAAAACTGATATGAACCATTCTTGAAGCGATTTGAATATTGTGTCAAAATTTGGTTTTAATTGGTGCAGAACTTTTTGAGTGTTTGAAGCGTACACAAACCAATTTAATATTTTTTATATTATGTAGATAGATACTGTTCATTTCGATATCTCTAAGTAAATCAATAATTGAATCAATATTCAACATTTCTTATAGTGCTAGCTTAAGACGTTTTTGGCTCATCGAGTTCCTCATTTCATTTTTAAGATTTCATTAATACCCTTTTATCAGTTTCATTTGTAACTTATGTAAATTGAAGTAAATTATGTTAACCAATATTGAAAATAAATTTAATCCACTTCTAATTGTCAAATGTGACACTGCAAGGATATAAAATTTGTTCGATGGGGCAGTGTCTGAAAAGTGAAAGTCTTCAGTGGCTACTGGTAAACCCTTCGAGTTTCGAGCTAATACAACTACTTTTGACAAGTGACAATAGATGGGGCTTGATATTGATGATTAACCCACGTGGCGGCTAATGGAACTCTTTTTACCCCATTGCAGCAGGAGGGTTATTTTTTCGAGTGTAAGTACCTGCCTCAGTATACAGAGTGAGCTGTGTAATCAAAGAAAGTGTGTGTCAAAGAAATTATACGAATATTTCTTTGCCACATTCTGCAGCCTAAACAACTTGACACATTTTAGCGTTAGAAGTGTGTGTATATCGTTAGTTTTGTTTTGACTATAAGAATGACAGTGGGTAAATGAAAATTAAAATCGCCTGTTTGTATATTTTAAGTATCTATGTATTTTCACGCATTCGGGTTTTTTGTTTCTCAAGGATTACCTTGTTTACTGTTTAGTTCGGTTTGTCATTAATGTCTATTCTGAAACAACTCCTATAAATACACTTGGAAATGGTTAATTTTTTTAATTTATAAATGTTCGTTTTGTATTTGTTTTGTGAGCGTCAGGTTAAGAGTCTGGAGTTCTATTTTTAAAAAAACATGAAATACGGGTTTTAATATAATATTTGGCTTAGAAGAAACTAAATATTTCTCGTATAAATTACCATAGATTTCCTCGTTATTGTGTACGTAGTATACGTGAATATTTTAGCAAGCTGACATCATTTACGGTGAAAGGCAATGCTAATCTATGTATTGTTATATAAAATGTGAAGTTGGTTTGTGTACGCTTCAAAAACTCAAAAAGTTCTGCACCGTTTGAGCTCAGATTTTGCACGATACACCACCCGCAACCTTCAAATATTGTTTTTATCAATTATTCGCGTCAGTTTTATATCATTTCTCACTAATGTGACCACAACGTGTCACAGCGAAGCTTGGCAGGGCACGGCTAGGTCACGATATTAGTAAATTTGACTTTCTTAAAAAAAATCTTCGGCCGCTTTTTTAGTACTGAATAATACAAGTAGTACTCAGTAGGCTGTGAAACTGTTTATATGAATAATTTAAAATATACATTTAATCTACATACGTCTGTTTTTTATACGTATAAATTAAACAAATTAAAGTTATAATTTTATTTTAATTAGTTTTAAACTGAATTATTTTTTAATAAATGACATAGAGGTACCATAAAAGGGGTTTCACCAAAAGCCACTCATTAATCGCAAAAGTACGATCTGTAAAATCTCGTATATCCTAAATAAAACGCGTGATTTTGTAACAAAGGCCTCAATTAAACAAAGCGTCTGAGGGTTAAATAGCTAAAATGAAGAACGGATCAATTTGCAAACTGGGCTTTTCCGCTACGAAGAGCTACGAAATTAATGTAGCTAGTAGGTATCGTCGATCGACGGCTGGACAATTCAGTATCGCGTGAGCTTCCGACGGAGTGGCCGTGTCGCTCGTGTGTTTAATATATCCGCGTATTTACGTTCGATGTCGTTCAACCTTAAATCCAATTAAAATTCATTGAGTCAGTGGCCGTCCTATAATAATGATATAATCGGCGATTAGTAATTAATATGTGGTTGTTTCTTTTTGTTTTTGGTGGAAAATGTTCGTAAAGGATATGAGTTTGGAAAAATGTTGAGGGCGTTTTGCGCGCGATGTGTGCATGTAGGATTGCTGTGGTTCGTTCTGTGGCTCTGCGATGTCGATGGACTTATAGGTACGTTAGTGACAACTAAATAGTTATTAATACATTTAATTATATATTTCAATACATATTCTTTATTCAAATTATTATTGGCGGCCGAATTAAGGTTAGGGACTGAGTTCTCTAAACAAGGTACCTAACCTTATGTACAGTACCCAGCTAACTTGTACCTATTCGAGTATCATACCCGTCAGTTACTATTGTTAGTCAGATTTCCCATACAATCCTTGTATGCTGGATAAAAAATATCCAGCATACAAGGATTTGCAATAAATTTATTATTTAAAGGATTTTAAGTAGGGTAAACCTACATCATTTGTGTAGGTACTTGCTAAAATAAATCAATTTTTTTCAATCGTGTTTGCTATTAGTATATTCTTTATTTTGTAATTAAAAAAAAATGTAAATCATTTGACAAAAAGGAAAAGCAATAAAATTCAATGCCACAATATTTTCCATGAACATCCACCAGTAGTACTGTATGTATATATTATGTGTTTAGATATGTGAAAGCTAGTTTAAGCTTTTAAGGTTTATATTATTATATCTGCGATAACATTAGTACTACGAAAATGTTTATTGTTTGGTCTAAATACTTTTTGGCATGAGCTAACAACCTTGACAAAGTTGATAAGTAAAACGAAACTAGTTTCAGACTATTCACTATGAGAATTTTTTGAGGTGGTTTGGCAATGTAAGCAGTTTTTAAATAAGAAAAAGAAATTAACTCTAATTGTGACATTTTTGGCTGGTTTTTATAATAATATGGTGTACAGAACATACTTTAAGAATTGAAACTATTCTGTTAAACTGTGTAAATTTTCAGTATAAAAAAGATTACTTATAAATAATTAAAAATAAAAGAAGAAGACCTTTACTAAATAATTTTGATTTTCAACTGGTTTTGTATAGCACAAATATAAGTTTTTACACTGAATGATGTAAATATAAGATGATCCCAATAAGCACTGATAGGTAGTTCCGAAGTATGTTCATCAAACGTGGTCTGCTAGGTAACATAGGTACTTTGTGATTAATACTAAGTGTTTTGTGTTTGAGGTTACACTTAGGGTGATCAGACTTACGAAGGAGATGGCGGAGCGGGACCGGGAGAGATTTAGAACTCTCCCGGCCCGCCAGGCTCGGGAACGGGCCAGTTACCGCAGACGACTCAGGCGCCGGAGGTCGCAGAACGACCTCCGTCCTCCATAAGGCCTGGGGGGACAGATGAGGCCATCTGTCACCCGAGCAGAAGCAGGCCGGGGTGACAGGTGAGGCCATCTGTCACCCGAGCAGAAGCAGGCCGGGGTGACGGCGAGCGCGTTATGAAGCGCGCGCGCCCTTCCGGGAGCACAGAGGGAACATGGGGGTTCCCACACAGGGGAGGTCGTCTACCCGCCGTAGATGGCACGAGGTACGTCTGGGCACCAGGGTTTCCTTTCTAGGGTACACCTGGTTCTCCGACTACTGGTACCTGAGACGGCCTGCGGTTTTAGTCGGTTCGAGTCCGACATTGCCAGCGGTAAGTGGTATCCGAGGGGATTGCCGCACAGAAAAAACAAGGGTTATCAGACTGAACAGTAATTGTATATTTTACTTGCTGTACGCTTCGCTGTGGCACACTGTGGTTGAACAAAAAATAGATATAAATTATCTTTGAAGCGTGTTGTATATCGTTTTGAAGCTCAATCGGTACAGGAATTTTAAGTTTTTGAAGCGTACACAAAACAGCCTATCATTATACATATATGTAGATTGGTTGATAGGCTATGCAATAGAAGGAACTATTCAGAAAAATACCATCACGAAGACCAGGAGGAAGTATTGTGTGCCTTTAAGAAAACTTCTAGGAATGATCTCTTTTGAGTTTTAAGAGTTACTGATAACTTGCAGGCCACAGTCAGTTTAAGTTACTGTGACTCCTTTCAATGCATTCCATTCAAATACTAGAACAGCCTGCCTGGTGGCACAGGCCGAGTATTTTATATGTGACATAAGTGAAACATATAGTTTCTTCTTCGCAACTGAGTTCATGAGTATATATGTAAGTTATACGTATACATGTATATTATATGAAGTCACTCCGAATGCCTTACTTTTTCCACTTATACATATGTACATATATTATTATGTTAATGAGGATTTACTCCTCGACTTTGACTCATGATCAAGAATAATTTATGCGTATATGTCCCGAGAATAATGGATTACTTATTATGCTAGCGTCTAATATATTTAATTTTACTAAATTAAATTTCAGGGCTACGATAGACATTGTTGATTAATTAGTTCGTTATTAGGTAATTTGTCGTGGTATTCACGTACTTGTAATTTTCAAAGCGTTGTCTTTATTGCAAATTAATTACTGTAGGAATTATATTTTGTAAGATTTTGCTGAAATACATCTTGAAGGATGGAGTTTTTTGTATTATTTTACATTTTATGTTATTTGTGATATATTTTAATAGTAGGTTTGTAATAAAGTGTAAAAGATATTGAAAAACATTATTTTGTAAAATAAAAGTAAAGGTAAATAATTTAACAATATTAAATCTCTTATCAGATTATATTAGATGATATGATATTTAATGATAAATAATATGGTTTATAACTTCAAATTGTAAGTTTATTTGTTTGTTACATAGGGAAGTTTGCATACACATCGTCAGGATGATACCCAAGTTAATTGATATAAATTATTAAAGATTAGACGTATAATAAAAGAAAATGACAATATTATTTATTTGCTAGCTGCGCCCCGCGGTGTTACCCGCGGTTGTTGTGATAAATTGCTCATCAAACTGGAACACTATTATTTTTGGGATAAAAAGCTTATATTCCAGGCTATAATCTATCTTTGTGCCAAAATTTCAACTGGATCCATTCAGCCGTTTTTGCGTGAAAGAAGAATGGATGGATGTTTGTTAACATCGATACTTCCATTCAAACTTTCATTTTTATAATATTAGTAAGAGTTAGCATACGAATTTCAAGGCCACGCATTATGAATTTTTGAAGTCTAAAAAAGTAGGCGTTTTTCGCGTTCTTGGGATTTTTGGCGCCATTTTGTAAGATTATTGTTATTTTGATCACGTGACATCGTAGGCCGCGCCTGCCTGACTATGTGCTGTCGCACGCAAATATTGAATAATAGAATGAGGATTTCATTTATTGTAGTTGTAAATAGTAAATTGAAGTAAATGACCGTCGCTTAATGCTATTGAAATTGATTGAAAATGGCTACTATACGGATGTGTATGTGTCGATTTACGAAACATTTATGTAATGATAATTTAACGTATTCTTATTTCTTGTTTGTCAGTTTCTTAGTTCGTATTCATTTTCATATTATCGTCTTTCTCATCCATAAATATTTTATTTAAAAACAAAATAGTTTTATCTACATTCTGCTTTCGTTCGAAATTGAAATTTTAAATTTTGAACGATAACTGAATGTTGCGAAAATTGTAAAAATTTGTATGTTCTGTTTTTGATATCAACCGCTTAAAATTTGTAAGGGCGATGACACATTTGACAAATAGGTCTAACCCCTCGGCTGCCGCTCTCCTTATAATTTCGGACGAATTCTGCGCAGATGATTATTTCATACACAATTATGACATGCTGGCATTAATCCGACGAGGGTTATATTTTTTATATCACGTATACGAACCATTCGGAATCGATATTTGTAGGGAGAGTAGGCTATTGTATTGAGGGAATACGATCAGTGCCGTTCATTGACAAAGACCCACGAACATTGAACTGACTATTCATCTAGTTTTTTTTTGTAAACGGATAGTAGGTATTGATAATACTTATTTTTTTAAAATTAAATTTACAGGAAATACGACTTGGTTCAGACCTAAGCTGAAGTTCTCAAATAAAATTTGTTGTAATAGATTTTTTACTCTGTCAATAATCTTTGTTTATATGGTGATTGCATCACGAGCCAAAAAAATTACACCATATCTTGTCAAGAAAGTACGAGAGCAAAAACGAAATTAGTTTCTGTTATTAAGCGTGATCAAGTAGGTATAACTGATTACCTTATACAACTAAAAACCTGATGAATGACTGAACAATTGGTCTAGTGTTTAGGGGTTATTGATCTTGACTGCTAATCCGGCGAGGGTTCAATTCCTCGCCAGGATAAATGTGCGATGTACACCATTATTAGTTATATATCTGAGATTAATTAATTAATGAAAAAAATAATATGTATGTTTTTAGAAATTTGTAAGTATTTTTATCAGCCGGCTGGTAAGCATAGCACAAACTCTGCCTAATTTGAAATTAGGCGGCCATGTGGGGTGTTATAAAAAAATTAATTACGTTTCATTTATTAAATGAGTTTATTATACTCAATGTTCATAGAAAATTGATTATTAACATTTTTTTACGAAAGTTTAGATCTAAAGATTATTATCAGAGTATTTGTGTCGCAATAACCTGTAATTAAGCATAATCGTCTTTATAAAACCAATCTGTATAAAATTACACGGATCCTGATTAAAAGATTTTTGTATAAAACCATGTGCTTGACGGATTAAGAATATGGGTGTCGGCACTTTTTTGTTTCTGTGCCGAAATTTCCTCGAATACCACCCACCGGTGGTTATGTCTGACTAGAACTGACCAAAAACCAGTTGCCGGGGAATCAGGAGTACAATAGAAAGGAAATCCCTGGTACTCCGACGTACCTCGGGCCCTCTATGGCGTGTAGACGACCCCCTCTAGTGTGGGAACCCCTTTGTCCCGGTTGTGCTCCTGAAAGGGCCCGGCTTGCCCGACCACCACCCCGGCCTGCTTCTGCTAGGGTGACAGATGGCCTTACCTACCAACCCCAGGCCTGTTTCGGAATCGCTGCGTACCATGGCGGCTATCATGTTACCGAGCGAGAGAATTCCCACTCCGATGACCGCCACGAGGTAACGCCTCTTCTCCACCTACGCCGGGCATTCAGGCGATCGCAGTGGTGGCACTTACGCTTTGGCTTCTTGTAGATCAGA